ATAAAAGATGTTACCTTTAGCACTTTAGGTGCTGCAGCCTTGGTATAGAGCGGCTCTTGAACCTTGGCCGGCACTGACTTGGCGGTGCTGGTGTCGCTGGTCTTCAGCGCGGGCACTGTCTTCGTCTCCGCCTTCACAGGCTCAGAGGATTTAGTGATGGGCTTTGGAGGTTCAGGGGGTTCCTAAGGAATTTGATTAATTATATTGAGAACAAAGTAATATCTCCAATTTATTTAGTTAAAACTTACCTCAGTAGACCAACCGTAAGGCAGCTTCGCAAGTTGGTCTTTCTCAGGTACAGCTTTAGAAGACGGCGGGCTGGTGTAGTCTAGATGGTTCTTGAAGGAGACATTCTTCGTTTGTTCCTTCTTCGGTTCTTTTATGGTCACCTCTTTCACCGGCTCTGGAGGAGCAGAAGGCTTGGGTCTGAAATAAAGGTGCTGTTTTAGATTTTGTTTAAAATAAATGGCCATGAAATGAGAGAATGTTGTAGAACACTTACTTTTCAATATTAGTCTGGCTCTGCAGGTTGATATACTCTGACTCCGCACCAGCCGATGCACTGAGGCTACACACTGATGTTATATCGCTTGTCTCTGTTACAAGAAATACACACAGAAGACATTAAAACAATGACGTGTGGAATTTAATGACTAAATACTCGTATTCTGGGCTATTTCCAACTTTTCCATGTTACTAATATTATAAATCCATAAGTTCAGAATTGATAGCTAGATAGTTTGTCGCGTAAACGACTGAATGGTTCTCATTGAAATTTGGGATAGAGTGTAGTCTGAAAGAACACATAGTCGCTGGCAAAAGCTAGTGGACTAAGCTTAACTCGTGTGGTAACCTGGATGACTGATGTTCTCCTTAGTGGTGGGAAGACGCACGCGCTGCGCCGGCGACCGCGACTCCCTCGTCGAAGACTCCGAGCTCGCGTCACTTCCTAGCTTACTAAGCAGCATCTGCAATATAACATCGTCTACATCAGCATCAAACAAATAGATACTTTCATACGATAACAATAGGGTTAACTTTCGTTGTATACCTGCAATTCGTTCTCTTTGGCTTGCAGCGTGCGGCGATAGCGGTTGTTGTACTGTCGCAGCTCCTTCAGACGGCGCTCCAGCTCGGGCCCGGGGTCGCGGCACTCGTGCGCGGCGGCCGGACGCAGCGTCGCGCGGATCCGCGACCCCGCCGCGCCCGGCTGACCGTTGCGACGTAACTCTAGCAGCTGGAATACAATATCTCGCTTATAATAGTAGAGTAACGAAGCTTTGTTAGGTATTGATATGAATGGAAGAAAGTAACAAAAGTAGAATAAACACTCACCTTCGGTACGAACACTAAACACAAAGTGGCAGTTGTACAGAATATAATGAAGATTGATATGAGAACAAACAGAGCATCCTTGTGGTCAGCGAGCACCTGCAATAAATAATCCGACTCAAAGGACCTTAATAGTGTACAATAAAATACCTTATGTATAGAATGTTATGGTTGAATTTTGTTTATCGCTAGTAACTTACATGAGCGATGGGAGCACCCATGATGCACATTATGAGCACGTTATAGACAGATAAACCGATATGTTTGGAATCATTTAGCGCGGGAATAGACACGTGTCTCGTCTCCCACGCAAGGAACGCTCCGAACACCTGAAAAAGAAAATAAGAACATTTTAATTACAGCAGTTAGTAAATAAAATTACTAGTGTGTTACCACGTTTATTATTCAAATGCCAAACACTTACCAATAGCAGTCCTTTATACACGTAAATAATTCCGACGAATATGGTCATCTTCTCCGATTGACAGTATTCGTTCTCTTGCACTATTACGATATCTTCACTTGTCGGATGAGGCTGTAAAGTTGCACAAACATTATTTAGCTAGTTATTTAGAATTTTAAAGCTACTAAAAAAACTTTAAGCATACTTACGTATGGCTCCATTTGTTTAGTGGCTCTATAGAACGGATAGAATATTTGCCATGTACTCATAATAGCAATGTCGATAGCCAGTAGAACTCCGACCACCATGAATAATTGGTAGTCTCTTATCACCTGGAAATACCAAGACTAATGACAATAGAAGATAGGACATGGATACTATCCACTATAGATCAGACGAAAAATGTGAGAGTTTTAGAAGGAGTTTTAGGAGAGATCTTGAAAGTTTGTTGCAATGTTGTAAGTGATTAAGGTTTTCATGTACCTTCTTATTGAGTTTAACATCAGTGAAGATGGAATGCACGCGCCAGGTCTTGGAGAACATGGCGCCAAACGCAAAGCTGAAGCCAGTCATCAGCAGCCCAGCTCTCGCGCTGCAGATGAACGGAAACGCGCCTGCACAAGGTACACATTAAATCATCAACGTACAGCGAAAATTATATTTATTTAAAAATGTCTTACAAATTTTATAATACCAACTTGTTTATTTCACTTGTTTAGTTAAATAGTGCAATATACAAAAGTTATTGATGAGCAAAAACTACAAACAAAGAATAGAAGGCGTTAGTAGCGGCTGCAAGCGCAGGATACCAAGAAGATGACGGTACAAGGAGAGCTGCAAATAATAAAACGATTAAACCTCCAAGCGACAGTCTTACAACATACTTTTACAAGATTTTAGTGAACTAAACACACCAAACCACACAAACAATCGGCCGAAGCATTACGGATGAAGGTAAAAGGAAAAACCAAATGAACCAAAACTTGGAAACATGCTGTCGACTCCGGTGACCTAGAATACGGCCTAGGTCTTTCTCAGAATCATAACACTAAATTCACAAGGGGGGGCCCAAGTTCCCAAAATTTGGTTAGCGGGTTCCATTCTGCCCAGGGTCGAAGCTGAAGCTGTGGGTATGGGAGCAAGCTATTACCTCGTCGCGACGGTTCCTGAGAAAGACCTAAGAATCAATGAAGTTGATGAGATCAGATGGCGTACCAGCGTGCCAGCAACATGCGTCCGAAGTGAGCCTTTTCACTTTTACAGTATCGCTTTTAAATTGTTTCTTTTATTAGTAACGTTATGGAATTAAAGTCCAATGCTCTTTATAATTATAAATCTTTTATATCTTCCAAAATTGCATTAACCAACTAAAGAACATTCCAGCAGAAAATTTAAACCATTATAGAGAGCATTGTAAAACAGTTAAATGACGATTTAAGTATTGAATGCATTAGTTTACCTTCGATCCGTCAAAGATAAGTGTAAACAAAGATATTTATGACAATGCAACATATCAGACACCGAGGAGAGAGATGAGGACATACCCAGGCTGCCCAGGCTGGAGTCCAGGCCGAGGAAGATCACACTCATGTAGGTGAAGATGCAGCCGATGATGATCACGTTGTTCAGATGAGGAGAAGACATCTTTATGTATCTATAACAAGAATGGAAAACGCTTTAATTTCCCTGGCCAAAGTTCATAGATTTATTGAGGTGCATAGTTTCACCTTTGATTTCTATAGTGTATATTCATGGCGAGGAAGCCGGTGGCCAGGATGATGCCGAGCACGGAGCAGGAGACCAGCACCGTGTAGATGGTGATGTTGACCTGCGTGTGCTCGATGAGGCGCAGCGTGCGGTCTTTCGGGGGATTCCTAGAAGGTCACAAATAGAAATTTATTCCTCTTTAGTTCACCGACTTCAACATATTTTTAATTATAATGGCTAATTTATCGATCTTACTTGCCAACCCATTTAAAAGGCTCCCAGCTGATCAAATCCAGATGATCCCTTTCTGCACAATATTCTCCGACCTTCATCTCCCCCACCTGGTCGCCCTGGAACTGCTTGAGAAGGATCGATGCTTTCCGCTCGTTGTCATAGAATCTTACTGGTCCCTGCGTGATAATACAGTTTCCATTTGATCTTATAAGTCTTTTGTCTACTACTCCCATAAATCTAACATCAAAAAATTAGTCTCACCGTGACTCCTTCGAAGGTGACATTGCTTAGTGCATCAAGGAAGAGCTGCTCCCACTCCTTGTCGCGGTAGCGAAAGTCCTGCACCGTCTTCTCCTTATGCTTCAACTTAACACGCTGCGCCACCGTTTGTATAGCCAGTGCCATCGCCCATATGCCTACGAACAGAAACATTTGAGAATATCGCCATCTTGTCAGCTTGGAAATATTACAACCTATTTATTGTTACTCACCATCATAAGTGTACCCATGGAATCTTGAATACTCCAGACCTCTTCGGCGGTCGTATTCTATCTGATAGTCTTTCGCCGTCTGAAAAACATTAATCACAACGAAATAAATCGATTGGACAAAATTACCTGAATTATTTAGATCGACTAAAATTGTCATGTCTTCGGGATATCTTCTGGATGATACTGGTTATCGGATTCGTCTAGAATAATCCAAGCCAAGTCTAGTCACCTGGATTGTAGTTAGCAAATACTAAGAATACGATATACAAAATCTTCTAAGTATTGCTCCAGGGTTTTTCTAGACTAAGTCTAGTGCCAGGTGTAGTGTTGCCACATACGATGCCGGAGACGGTGGTCTCCCCGGTGGTGGAGAGCGGCAGCAGGTCTGTGAGCAGCGCGGTGTCGAGCGCGGCGGTGAGCTCGCGGCGCGCGCACGGCCCGCGCTTCAGCCACCAGCGCTCGCTGTACGTGCCCAGCAGCAGCCACGTGTATGCGCGCCCGTACATCTCCAGTCTGCACACCATACATACAGTGCCTCTCAATCGCAAGGGAAATTACTTTTTCTTAACAAATTCTCAGTTATTCAAATGAGAAACTAATGACCGGTAGTAGAGTTTTAAATCCTGTGGCATAAGCTAAGACATACTTATATGCTTCACAGAAGATTCTCATCGCCCAAGTCTCGTTGAAGTTCCCAAGTATTATCCTGATATCCTTCTCCTTCAGCTTCTCCAGAGCAGTTCTGACTTCAGTCGCGAAACTCTGCGTCTCGTCTATATCGAATCCGTGTGAATCCAGGTCTGCTAGTAGACGATTGTGTGCCTAGAATATGTAACAAGTTCGAATAAATCCATTAAAATTACAGAAATATTGCATCATGTCTCATTAACGTCGAGTTACCAATGCATATCTGGGTTCGTTCTGGTAGATGGTGCCGACTCTTGTCCAATTAAAGTGCTGAAGCAGGCGGATGCGTGGCAAGTTGAACGCGTTCTCAGAGGGCACGATGCGGAAGAAGTTCGGGAACGCCTCCTTCGTGAACATCGGGTGGGTGTCCGCGTAGGACAGCTGAAAAAATTATCGTGAACCTTTCTACATTCGAAATTGATAACATCGACCTCCGGATATGTGACAGTTGAATTTTCGGCCAGGTTACCTGTGTGAGATGCCAATGCTTTGAAGCTTTAGCTATGGGGTCGGTGACATGCGTGCAGGCCGCGCCGAACAGCATCAGCTTGTGTGGTCCGCTGTGCATCATGTCGAAGAAAGACTTCACGCCCACCGCAGCGTTACACTGGAAATTTACAACATGTTAGAATATTAAAAGTTAGTTACTATAAAGTACTTATCCATAGAAAGCCACTTGCCAGAAGACGTCCAAAGTAAACACAAATGACCTAAAAAAGCTGACTTTTTTTGGTTCTCGGAGCTCAAATACTGTCAGCTGTTTCAGCCCATGGAGCCAAAAGTTTTTTTTCAATAAGGGCAAAGAGGTTTTTCTATCTGGTCGTAATATTTATCAACGCTTCACTATCTGCTACTTGTTTTGACTAGAGAAAAGTAATTTTACCTCAGTGTCGTTCCACCACATATGCAACCGGTAGTTCCGTAGCACGGAGTCATGCTCGTTGACGTGGTCCAGCGCCAGCTTGACGCTCGGCATCACGCCACGACCTACAGCGGTGTTAACATAGCTTTGGTACAAAACACTTTTTAAACTTCAACTTACGCACACCTGGAGTTACAGGATGAGCAGGGACCACTGACTTCTATTAAACATGGTGGTACACACATGGGCATCGTCAGGAAAAGCAGCTGCCCCCGCACACTAGAGAATCTAAAAATGTAAAATTCATTCCTCCTTCTATCTTAGCAGTAAATAGATACCAGTGTTTGAGTTCTCTACGCCCTTGCCGAAGGGGAAGAAGCCAGCTATGTAGACGTCTGTTCGCCGGTTGAGGATGGCGTCGAGGTTGGGCTTCTGCGGCACACCCGCACTCAACCCCACCAGGAGTAACAGTAGAAGCATATTGACTGGAATCACAATACGCCTGTGATCTATGGGCTGCAGTGATCATTGCAATTTAACGCTGGAATGGTACAATCTTTTTTTTTCACATAAATGTAGGAAATACACAAATTTACTTACAGCTTTTTTCACTAGCGCGGCCAGTCACTCAAGAGAGGTATTTATTACATCTGTAGCGACTGTACCAGTGGAAATCATTTTCCACAAATATACTATTAAATAAAATTGTCAGTTTTAAATGATTATAGTTCACTTACCGTCAACTTTTGTCCAGGCGTAAGCTTTCAATAGCTACGTAAGTTCTCGAATACATATACATGAGCTTTTTCTTGTTAAAAGAACATTTTCATATCACTTCTCTATAATTTCACAACCTTTTACAATAAACCATTAAAAAAGTACATTCTACGTATATTTCTTCAGTTTCAACGCACTAAATAACATTATTCGGTACGAAATCATATTTACGTCTTTCCAGCTGAAGCAGCCTTTTCAGACTTTGAAGCCTCGAGCTGGGGTCTAAAAATTATTTTCATTTATTATTCAAACAAACGAAACTGAACTCTAATCTAAACGATTAAGTCATTGTATTCAATACCACATATTCTACTAACACATCACATTCTACGAAATTAGGCATCACATTCGATTTTTCCGTTCATTTAAAAATATAGCTAAACAACTATGGTATTAGATTGAATATAGCTCATTAAGATATTACCTTTGAATCGTTTTGAAACGAATGGTCGCGGCCTACAGGCAAAATTAGGCTTTGACGGTGCGAATCGATAGGGGATGGGCTACAGTACTAGGGTTGTCATGTACTCAAAATATCGATGGTAATATTTAAGGGATTTTGTTTTAAAATCACGTATTGTTAGGATCACAAATTAATTTCAAACGTAAGGTCTGCTTCTCGCGGAGATGTCAGACCAGAGGCGTGTTAGGAGTTTTTGTCGCCTATACGTCAACAACTAGGTAGGAAGGGAAAAAAAGAGGGCTATTTTTACATCGCTATCCCTTATGTGTTAGAAGTTAGAATTGTTATCGATGTAAACAAGACATTGGCGTCTCTATTCGGAGCTTTCAACGCATGCGTAGAAGCCAGGGTGTGTCTTGCCCAGGGACCAAGGGACAGAGTTTAGACATGATTGTACCAATTTTACTTCACATATAACCAAAAACTAAAAATTAACTATATTGTAGTGTGCATCTGCATAGTAAATATAAGCAGGTTAACGTGGGTATAATGCAATTACTTTTATTTCATATGTAAAAAACTTCAATTTCTTTAGCTCCTCAAATGTAGCTCATTTCTTTTTAATTTTATATTTTGTACAAGTATGTACCAAATGAAACTATTACAAATGTATTGTTGGTATAAAAAACAAACGAAAGAAAAATTTGGCGCGATTCAGGAAATTAATTCTGATATCCAAAATTATACTTTAATTTCAACGGTGTATGGACTATTTTTAATTTTTCGAAAAGATATTTGACACATAAGTATATAAATTACCATAAAAACTAAAAACGTTTCGTTTTATCAGCACTACTCTTGAATATTTTTTTTATGTTTAGTGTCAAATTATAGAACACCATACGAAAATTCTACTAAGATTAACAGAAATAATATTTTTATAATTTACAAATGAATTTACTCTAGTAAATAAATAAAACATTGGGTAAATTAAAAAATTAAATCTCTTAAAACGTTTCTTTATATGCATAATCGATGAAATTTCAAAAGTTCCACATAAGCGGTATTAACGTGACAACACTATATGCCAGAATACGTGGCCCCAAACTCTGTGCTGTTCATGTGTCTTGTTTATATTTTTTATTGCAAAAATTCGTGAATATTCGTTTCATAAGCCGTAAGTATTGGAAAATGGATTTCTATATTTTCCTTTTTTATTTACCATTTACCCGTGTAATCAACATGAGCTAAGATATCTTGATTAGAAATTAAGACGGCATCTGTCAAACTTCAAATTTACAATATTTTCCAAGATAATTTTAGATTTTGGCTATGTTTCTATTTTATTTTGTCAATACTATTAACTAGCTTTTATTTAAAACATGTTTTAAAAGACAGGAAAATTGTATGATGTATTAAACATTCTTTTTTTTTTCGTAGTAATCATACGTTGAAATATCCCTTAATTACATGGTATCTTTAGTAATGATGACTTGCTGACCAGTAAAAATAATATATAAGAAATACAACATAACATATATTTAAAGGGTACATTATATATTGAAATTAATATAATGGGAAGTTGTGGATTGACATACTTTGTTATGTAAATATTTTATACATTTTCAATCAGCTTCTCATTCAGTACAGATTTCTTGTGTACAGGTTTAAATTATTTTTTAAAAAAATTTATTTAGTAACTTCAACAAGTAATACTTTTTCAATAAAAAAAACTAGTCTTTAAAAATAAAACATTTGTTAAAAGTTCAGTTAATTTTGATTAATTGTTCTTAAAGTCTACAAGCTTTTTTTGTTTTACAATAGTGCTCACTTTTCATACATTTTAATTGGTGAAAGTATGAATTAAGTTAAGAATGCAAGTAAAATTCCTTCACAATAATTTGATATCCAATGATTGGTTTACATCATTTATTGCACAATTTGGCGAAAACAATGTTATAGGTCCATTAATAACATATTATGAGTCATTAAATTAGAAAAATATTTCAGTGAGTTTGTGTAAAACCACAAAAATATAATCCAATATTAGTATTAGTAATTTTACATTCATTAAGTTTGTCCCTTTTCAGGTGATCGGCTTCTAACAAGATGATGAATCCTCAGTATCTGCCACCTGGACAAAATAACAATGCACCCTCTAATCCACTGGGCTTCCCACCAACATCACAAGACTACAATGGAGTACAGAATGCCAACATCTATGGTCAAATGCCACCAAATGGCCCACAAATGCCTATGAAGCAGTTTGACCCTTCTGAGATGTCAAATAAAATGCAAAACATGAACTTGAATGGACCACAAGGGATTCCTACTTCTCAATTGCCTCCTGGACAGTTCCCACCAGAAAGCTTTCCACCTACATCTAACTTTGGACCTGGTCAACTACCACCCAACATGAGGCCACCTGTTTCTATGGCTGGAAGGCCACAAGGGAATGAAGCTTCACCATTTCCACCTCAAATGCAACCTCCCATGTCTACAGCTTCCACCCAAGCCCAAGGTTTCAGTCAAATTCCTGGCAAGGAAGGGCAATTTCAAGGACCACCTCCCGGACAAATGGTTCAAAGCCAGTCTAAGCCAATGGTATCCCAACCAGGGCCTCCTCCATTGGGACAGCCTGGTGCCCCACCACAAATGTCACAGATGCCTCCACATTCTCAACCTGGGCTTCCACCTCAACCTGGGATGATGGGGAGACCTCCCAACGGTCCCGAACAGGCAAAGCCACCACAAACGGGTGGTTTTCAAGGTATGCCACCACCAACTGGTCAACCAGGGATACAAACCCAACAGATGCCGCCACCAGGCCAGGCAGGATTACCTCAGAACCAATCAGGTCTTGGTATGCCACCCCAACAGAGTTCGCAACCTCCACAAATTCGTCAACAGGGTGCGCCACCTGGATTTGATTATCAAAGACAACCTCGAGGTCCAATGCCAGGATTGCCCCCGCAGCCAGGTAGTTTGCCAGGACAGATGGGCCCTCAAGTGCCCCCCGGACCACCCCAAGCCCAAGCTGGTCTTCCTCCTCAATCTGGTATGCCACCCCAGCAAGTTCCTTCTTCTCAATCACAGTTTCCATCCATGCCCGGCTTACCTCATATGCCCCCACCATTATCCCAAGCAAGACCTCCCTCTGGATTTGGCCCTCCTGGACAATCTGGCCAACAACCAAGTTCTTATGGAGGTAAGAGTTATTTTTAATGTAAGTCTAATAATAAAAATAAATAGTTAGCAATTAAACTTAGCTAAGTACAGTAATTTATTCTTTTAAATTTTTGATGATTGATTTCCTTACTCCAGGTATGCCACCAATGCAACCTCCGATGCCGGGCCAAGCACCTAGGTCTGGTCAGCAAGCAATGGCCGGCCAACCTCCTATGTCTGGCCAACCCCCAATACCTGGCCAACATTCAATGCCTGGACAACCTCCAATGCCAGGTCAACCATCAATGCATAGCCAACCCCCAATGCCTGGTCAACCACCAATGCCAGGCCAACCTTTGATGCCAGGACAGCCTCCAATGCCTGGTCAGCCCCATCTACCTGGCCAACCTCCAATACCTGGCCAACACCAAATGCCTGGACAACCCGTGATGCCTGGCCAACCACCAATGCCTGGTCAACATCACATGCCTGGACAACCTCCAATGCCCGGACAACCTCCGATGCCCGGACAACCTCTGATGCCCGGACAACCTCCGATGCCCGGCCAACCTCCGATGCCCGGCCAACCTCCGATGCCCGGACAACCTCAAGCTTATCAACAGCAGCCAGGATATGCACCATTCCCAGGACAGCAGCCAAGTTATCCTGGACAGCAATTTGCACAGCAGCCACAACAAAGGCGCCTTGATCCTGATCAAATGCCTAGTCCAGTAAGTACTTTGATAAAACTAATTTTTACTTGACTAACGGTATATTTTTTTATGCTTATAAAAGTCCTTATGTACATATAAATTGCCCCCAATTACCTCTGCACAGAATTTAAAAAATACTGTATAAGTAACCTACATCTGTGTGATGAGAACTGTTCCAGAGATATCTTCTAACGTCTATCAATCCATCTAAACTTTTGTATTTATAACATTAGTAAATAAAAGAAGTACCAAATAGTTTTAATAATTTGACTGATTTTAACAAGATGTAGTTTCCTAATTGGATTTATTACTTAGCAAATATTGTAATTGATGAATTTCTAAATGCGATCTATTTTAACTTTGATGTAATTGTTTTATTATGCAATATTTTATACTTATAAGACATATATATCTTCAGATCCAAGTGATGGCGGATGACCAACAGAACAGAGGCGGTGTGTTTGTAACCAATGAGAAGGGTTTGGTGCCTCCTCTTGTTACCACTGACTTCATTGTTGATGATAAGGGAAACTCAAGTGGGTATTTGTTTATTTTTAATTTTATGTACAAATGGGATACTAAAACTGATTAACTGTGATATGTGTAGGGTGGCCTTGCAATAAGCAATTTCTTAAAGGATTATATGAGAAATAAATCTATACTTAATATAATAAAGTGTAAACACACTACTTTGTTATGTAGTGTCTCGGCAATCAAAGCATACTTGTTAAATAATTATATATATTAATGAAAAGCTCTACACTTATACCATGCTTTTACCTATATATTTTCAAGTTATTAAATTTAAGGGTGAAGGTAAACTATAAGGCAATAGCAGCTAAAAGCAAGGTTGCCATGGTTACTTAGCTATATAAATTGGATTGTTTGTTCTTTTCTGTCATGTAATATTACGTCATCTTATTACTGCAAAGTTAATTATGATGTCAGATTATTTTACTGTCATCTCTTGTTTTTATACATTGTTGTTGCATCTTATTGTTTATAGTACACAGAACGCTGTCGTAAGTCTATGATGTAGGCTAGATCTAGGGGGGGAGGCTACTTTTTTATTCTAAAGGTTTCGTTTCATCAACTTGTTGAATTCTTTTATGATATAACTGAACTTAATAACTTTGTTCTAAAATCTCCGCTTATAAGCTGATAGATGTCAAAACTTATAATAATTCGGCGTTTTAAAGTTGCCTTAATTTAAGGCGTTTTTACATTTTTAAATGGCGTTTCAGCATTAGGCTATTAGTGTTTCGATTTTTACATTGTCCAATCGAAAATATTGTATAATGCTACATGTTTATATTATTTTCATTATATTTTTTAAATAAGCAATTAATATTTAACAGGTCCTAGATACATCAGGAGTTCGATGTACAGTGTGCCTGTTACCGCAGACTTACTCAAGCAAACAGCAATGCCGTTCTGTCTAGTTGTAAGTATAACAAAATTACTTATTTACTCAAGTTTCTTAACATCTGTCTACAAATATTCATACTCTTCAGATATCACCAATGGCAGAAACAGTAGGATCCGAGCAGGAGCCTCCTGTGATAGATTTTGCAGCGCTAACAGGCTCCCCGACCATGGGTCCGGTGAGGTGCAGCCGCTGCAAGGCATACATGTGTCCTAATATGAAGTTTATTGATGCTGGTAGACATTTTAAATGTGCCTTCTGTAAAGCTACTACTGAAGGTAAGTGCAGTAACTAGTCACTTAGAAAAAATCACTTGCGATTAACGATATCTCTAGAAGAAATTATTAAATTCATTAAATGTTCTACAAATACGTTAAAAGCATAAGATCTTTCGATCAGCTATATCAATAATGGAATGTTTTACTATCCAGAAGCTTTTTATAGAGTTTAAAAACAAATTATTGATATGAATTAGTAAACAAATTATAAAAACTCGTATGTCATATTTTTAACATTGTCCAATTTCATTAAAGTACAGTAGAACCTCGATAACGTAAAAACCTCTATAACTTAAAATAATAACATGTCCGCTTCCCATCAGAGCCCAAAACCTCTATAACATAGACCCTTGATAACTTAAAACCTCTAGAACTTAAAGTATTTCGTGTTTCCTTTGGACTTTAACTTATCCAGGTTCTACTGTATAAAATAAAGGAATTATTGTTTTCCTATGAAAAAGATGCTATGAAATGGTTATTAAGCCAACTACAAATCTTTAGTTCTAACTAAACAGTTAACTTGTACGGTTTAAACTTAGTTTTGCCTAGATTTTTCAACTCTAACATTAAAAATGATGGTGCGAAGTAGGTTTTAGAGTAAATTATTGTAGATTTTGTCGCCAATTTGGTATATAAGTGGATTTTGATATATGTTACAGTACCAATGGAATACACGCAGTATATAAACAGCATGCAGCAATATGGCAGAGTGCCCGCTGAGATGGCCCTTGGTACATACGAGATTGTAGCCACTAAAGAATATTGCAGGGTAAGTTTGTCAAATTTTACTCAAATATACATCAAAAATGTTAATTGTTGCTATTATTGTTATTTATTTCATTGTTATTTCAGAACAATACGTTGCCGAACCCCCCAGCTATAGTATTCGTCATCGACGTGTCTTACAATTCTATCAAAAATGGACTTTTGCAGACTGTCTGCGATAATATTATGGACTTTATTGAGGTAACATACAGATTTACTATAATTTTATATAATGAAAATTTAAAATTATAATAATTAATCTAATTTAAGTAATTAATGTGTGTTTTCAGGCTATGCCCAAAGATGAGAATGGTAAAAGTTATACACGCGTGGGTTTCATCACGTATAGTTCTACAGTACACTTCTACAATATAAAGGTATTTATTAAGGCATTATCGAACCCATTATTTACCAAACTTGCCCTGTTGATTAAAGAAATTGCACATTCTTTGTCAAAAATGTTCATTGATTGTAAAGTTGCCCATTCACTGTTAAACTTGCGTATTATTTACCGAACATACTTATTATTTATCAATCTTGCCCATTATTTACCAAACTTACCCAATTCTTATCAAATTTACCCTATATTTATCAAGCTTACCCCATTATTTATAAAACTTACCCTGTATTTACCAAACTTACTCTAGACTTATCAAACTTACCCTATATTTATCAAGCTTACCCCATTATTTATAAAACTTACCCTGTATTTACCAAACTTACTCTAGACTTATCAAACTTATCTTAACCCTATATTTATCAAAGTTACTCTACACTTACCGCACTGCCCCAGGGCTCGCTGGCGCAGCCTCAGATGCTGTCAGTAGGCGACGTAGCGGACGTGTTCGTGCCGCTGCTGGACGGCTTTCTGTCGCCGGCGGAGCAGAGCGGGCCAGTGCTGCAGCAGCTCTTGCAGCAGCTGCCGGCCATGTTCCAAGACAACAAGGAGACGGAGACGATACTGCTGCCTGCTGTACAGGTCTGCTTCTAGAATGTTCTTTGAGAAGTTTTTTAGTCGTTTTTATGTGTCTGTTGCTTGCTACGTAGGGAAGACGGATGATAGATTTGGAGTAGGATAAAGTATGGGAGATGAGTATGTAATTTGTTTCTTTGTCCAGGCCGGTCTCGAAGCCCTGAAGGCTGCGGACACGTCGGGGCAGCTGCTGGTGTTCCACACGTCGCTGCCGACGTACAACGCGCCCGGCAAGCTCGCCAACAGGGAGGACAGGAAATTGCTAGGAACTGATAAGGAGAAACAGATACTTAGTGAGTTTGTACGCGGTGTACTATGTGTGTGTAGTTAGTACACCCGGTTTCCCAATCAAATTTATGCAAAGTTACTTGAGTGCGAAGGAACTGAAAGCCAGTACAGAAACTGGTTAGTTCCTTCTGCATACGCTGAGCTGTCTTCCTTTTGCCGCATATTCTATTCTATTCTACTATTCTCAGCACTGGCTTATAAATAGATAGTGTTAATATTATTTAATGTGAAGGGAATTTTTTAGTAAAAAACGTAAAAACATCAGAATATCTTGTACACAACTCTGCGTCGTTAAAAATTAGTCAAACTTAGACTATGTTTTCCAAAATATGTTATATCTGAGACAGATTTATTCGAGATCCGTAGTTTTCTGGAGATACTTTAAAAACATCCATCTATCTAAATTCAGATTTTACACTTTTGAGGATATGAGTTAGTTAATCCTTGTTTTAGATAATTTTTGTTGCCAAAAGCAATATTTTTAATTCGAGATTTCGACAAATGAGGACATGTCATGTCAGTGTGATAGGTGAAATAATAATAATAATAATAAAGTCATTTAATCCATTCAGAAGGCAAACATCATACACTTAATTACACAGTTGACAAAAATAATGACGGAGGAAACGAAAGTTTTACAAACAACAACAAAATATATACAAATACACAATAATAATCAAAAATATCATAACTTTCAATATATTTTTTTTAACTAAGTTTGCTATGCTGAATGGATAGGGCCTTTACTCAGCTATGTGCTTATTACAGTATAGCAATAAGCGCTGGTATTCTGTAAAGTAATTGTGACACAGTGCCGCAGACGACGGCGTACAACGAGGTGGGGCAGGCGTGCAGCGCGGCCGGCGTGTGCGTGGAGCTGTTCGTGTGCAACAACGCGTACGTGGACGCCGCCACCGTGGGCCAGCTGCCGCGCCTCACCGGCGGACAGATACACAAATACACATACTTCACCGTCAGTATATTCTCTAAACCATACTATACTAGTTGCCTGCGACTCCGTCCGCGTATTAGACATTTCTCGGGGTTGAACCTTATCTCATTTGTACTCGTTTTTGTTTTATATCTGTGCCAAATTCCAATAAGATATGTTGAACCGTTGCAGAATAATCGAGTAAACATTAAAAAACTAAATTAATGAATCCCACGGGAACCGTAACTACTCCCGGGATAAAAAGTAGCCTATGTGTTCTTCCAGACTATGCTCTAAACCTGTGCCAAATTTCATGGAGATCCGTTCAGCCGTTTGGGCTACAAACGCTAACAAACATCCATCCATCTAAACTTTCGCATTTATAATATTAGTATATGATATATGTCTAGAGGGGCTGATCGTTTAATAATAATGTTCATTTTTTATTTATTGGAATGCCAACAAAACATATTAAAATAAATATACATACAGTGGTTTAAACTCAGTTAAAAATATGGTTTAACGAATTATGGTCCTTCAAGACAATTTCCTCAAATATCTGCAAAGTATCTGTAGTTCCTTTGGTCGTTGACCACTTTTGTCCCCCTTTTCCTATAAAAGAAACTAGCTGGTCACGTCCGGCTTCATCCGCATGAAATATGAAAATTTTATTTCATTGTTTACATTTGTCAAATCATTAATTGCAAATGTCAAAATGACATGACATAATGACAATCTTGCTTCCTTGATGTTGGCTGCAACTTGTGGTCTCTTTCCCACATTAGGGTTTTTATCTAAAATATTTGCTCCCTAAGTTTAATAGCGTGAAAATATATAGCCTAAAGCGTGACGTAAATGTAGGGCTTTTAGTTAAAAAAAGAATTACTCAAAAATATGGTGTAATTGCTGACATCTTAGGCAACAAAGAAGTGTGTTTACGCTTTATTATAATAGTGCAGATGTGTTTCCCAGGCGGAGACGGACGGCCACCGTCTAGCGTGGGACGTGCGGCGCGTGGTGTCGCGGCCGACGGCGCACGACGCGGTGATGCGCGTGCGCACTTCCACCGGCGTGCGCGCTACTGACTTCTTCGGACACTTCTTTATGTCCAACACCACTGATGTCGAATTGGCTGCTATCGGTGAGTATAGGGTAGGAAATTAATGTCCCTAACTGTACACATTGAAAAAGCGTTATAGAATCGAATATTATGTCAAATTACTCCAAAGTAGTAGTAGTATTCCGTTCGCGTAGAATTAAAGAAAAAATGAGTTGTCTATGTGTTCTTCCATAATACCCTCTACTTCTACCGAATTTCTTCAACATCCATTCAGAGGTAGTCTACAAACTCTAACATCCGTCCATCTAAACTTTCGTATTTATAACATTACTAGCTGTTGCCCGCGACTTAGTTCACGAATTATTAAGTTAAAAAAGTAATATATACAGGGTTATTGGTAATTAGACGTATTCCTGTTACGATGTAATAGAGGGGATCATTTGTTAAAACTTTGACCCCTATGTCCATAATACAAAAGTTAACCATTTCTGAGTAATCTTGATTTTTCGATTATTTCAAAATCAATCGAAATTGCAATTTTAAAAATTTATTTAAAAAAACTATCAACCATAACTTATTTTTTTCTTCAGATTTATAAAAACTATTAAAGTCTAATAAATTTACAATATAAAAACATCATTTATCTGTCCAAATTAAAAAATGCGAACTAAAGAACCATTTTACTTTAAAATATTTCGAGATTCTCATCCACTGAAATGCCTTAAAAACGAAAAAATGGATATGGAACTCAGTCTGCAGATTTTTTAAAAACATGCCCGTTTCCTTAGCACTCCACAAATAATAACAAGGAATTTTATATATATAAAACCGTGTTTTCAGATGCGGACAAAGCGATCGGCGTGGAGATAAAGCACGACGACAAGCTGACAGGCGAGGACGGCGTGTACGTGCAGGCGGCGCTGCTGTACACGCGCCGCTGCGGACAGCGCCGCCTGCGCGTCCTCAACCTCGCCCTCAACGTGGCGCACCAGCTCGCTGACGTCTACCGCTCCGCGGAGCTCGACACCACCGTCGCATTCCTTAATAAACAAGGTAATATAAATGCAGCGATGAAAGCAACACCACGTATTCCAGTGTTGCCATTTGGGGAAAAATTCCCCGGGGATAGAGCAAAAGCTCCCTAAAGATTGAGCAGCCTAGATCAGCCTGCGAGGGGTTTTTAGTAAGTAGTAATCTATCATAACCCTGTCTTTTTATAAAAAGACGGCATCTTTCGAATAACCACCCCATACCAAAAAAGGAAATGAAAGGCCAACGACTAGCCCATGGTATGTCAATATGGACAGGCTGTAATATGGCATGGCAAAATGTCTTGTGTCCTGAATAAACCGATTTTGATGAATACACTCTGATCTATTTGTCCTAATCCGTTCAGCAATTAAAGCTACAGACTAACCAACATCCATCTAAACTTTCGCATTTATAATATTAGTAAGATGTCAGCAATCACAGCATATTACGAATAATCATTCTCTTTAATAAAAAGCCCTACACTTATGTGTCTATAGATTGGTTTCTACTCTTACTATTAGAGTGACTTGAAATAAAACATCAAGCGGAAAAGGGAGCAAAAACTTACAAACCAATACACAAAATGACCATATTAATTGTTATTTCTGTGTATATTCCAGCTGTGTGGGCACTACGCGAGGCGACTCCCAGCCAAGTGCGCGAGGGGCTGTCGCAGCGCTGCGCGCGCTCGCTGGCGGCGTACCGGCGGCACTGCGCCTCGCCCTCCTCCGCCGGCCAGCTGGTGCTGCCCGAGTCCATGAAGCTGCTGCCGCTCTACACCAGCTGCATCCTGCGCTCTGACGCCATCGCAGGCGGTGAGTACACACCTCTACTGGATTGCACTTTACTCTACTCAGGTCTACTCAAGTGTAATATGTTCTACTCAAGTGTACTATATCCTACTCAGATGTACTATGTTCTACTCAAGTGCATTGTGTTCTACTCAAGTGTACTATGCTCTACTCAGGTGTATTATGTTCTACTCAAG